TTTTTTTTTTGAGACGGGTCTCACTATGTCATTGAGACTGACCTGGAACTACTGTGTAGCCCAGGCTGATCTCAGACTCACAGTGATCCTCCTGCCTCAGCCTCCCAAGTGCTGGGATTACAGGTGTGCACCACCACGCCCGGCCTGTGAGTGTTGGTTTTTGAGACCAGGAGTAGGATACAGGACTTTGGTCTGAGCTACAGTCCCAGTTCTTATTTCGCTAAGTTGTACAATAGTCCAATCTGTGTTTTTCCTGCCTCAGCCTTTCAGAATGCTGAGATTATTCCTACAATACTATACCCAGCTCTGTATTTGTTTGAGACTAAGCTGAAACCAGTTTGGAGCCTAAGCAGTAAAGGTCTGTCTGTTTAGCTGTAAAGATACTTTTGAGTTCCAAAGATACATCTAACCTTGATGAGCTTCCTTAGGTACTTTGTGCCTTTTATCTAAACTAGTGTGGGTTTTGGTGTGCAAGCCACTCTTGTCTGCCCGTTAGTATTTTTGAGAGTACACTCACCACCTACTCATCCCCTTACTGGGGATTGAAACTAGGGCCTTTACACTGAGCTACTATTTTAGTGTGCTCTACTATCTCTTTAAATTTGAGTGTCTTGTGTTTCTCAGGTTTTTGTCTCAGCTTCCCAGGAGTGCTTGTTTACCCTTCACTTCTGAGGTACAGAGATGAAGTTGACTACCTTTGTTCTAGGTGGAGAAGGAAAGAGATAAAGAAGTGAGTGATGATGAGGCTGAAGAAAAGGAGGATAAAGAGGAAGATAAAGAAAAAGAAGAAAAGGAGTCTGATGACAAACCTGAAATAGAAGATGTTGGTTCTGATGAGGAAGAAGAAGAAAAGAAGGATGGTGACAAGAAGAAGAAGAAGAAGATTAAAGAAAAGTACATTGATCAAGAAGAACTGAACAAAACAAAGCCCATTTGGACCAGAAACCCTGATGATATTACTAATGAGGAGTACGGAGAGTTCTATAAGAGCTTGACCAATGATTGGGAGGATCACTTAGCGGTGAAGGTGAGTGCTGCAGAGCTTGTCCTGAGGTTGTCCAGTCACCTTGAAAGTTAATGTCGCCTTCCTTCCTTCGACATCTGTGTAAGTGCAGTTGTGTATCTGTCAAGTAGCTTTAGTACAAGTTGCTTCCATTGACCCTCTGTGTTTCATTGCAGCATTTTTCTGTAGAAGGACAGTTAGAATTCAGGGCTCTTCTTTTTGTCCCACGACGAGCTCCTTTTGACCTATTTGAAAACAGAAAGAAGAAGAACAACATTAAGTTGTATGTCCGCAGAGTTTTCATCATGGATAACTGTGAGGAGCTGATCCCTGAATACCTGAGTGAGTATACTGAGAAAGAACTTGGGAATTTGGAACATCACCTCCAGGCTCCTTTCTTGAGAATTGTGTTTTTCCCCTCTAGCGTGGTGGGAATACTTTGGTCTTTTGTTTTTACAGATTTCATCAGAGGGGTGGTGGACTCTGAGGATCTCCCTCTAAATATTTCCCGTGAAATGTTGCAACAAAGCAAAATTCTTAAAGTGATCAGAAAGAATTTGGTCAAAAAGTGCTTAGAATTGTTTACTGAACTGGCAGAAGATAAGGAAAACTACAAGAAGTTCTATGAGCAGTTTTCTAAGAATATAAAGGTTGGTGCAAACACGTAACTACGGCTAGCAGGTTTTTGCGGGGGTGGGGGGATTGGTACGGGAATTGAACTCAGGACATTGGGCTGGCAAGGCAGGTGGCAGAACCACTGAGCTGAATCCCCGCCCTAGCAGTTTTTAAACTGGCCTCATTTTTAATGTTTTTTTTTTTTTTAAAGTGTAGGAAAACCTCATGCTTAATGTTTTGTTTCAGCTTGGAATACATGAAGATTCTCAGAATCGGAAGAAGCTTTCAGAGCTGTTACGTTACTACACATCTGCTTCTGGGGATGAGATGGTTTCTTTGAAGGACTATTGTACTAGGATGAAGGAGAACCAGAAGCACATCTATTACATCACAGGTAGGGGCCTGTGCCTGTTGTGGTCTAATTCACTTTGTTCTCCTAGTCTCATGGAGACCATGCCTGTGTTGTGTGGATGGCCCTGCATTGTATATAAAATACTGTTGCTGGTGATGCTGTAGATACTTGGTGGGAAGTAGGTCACAGCTGTGGGCTTACTAGCTGGAGCTTAAGCATCTGACCAGCCCAGACAGAAGAGTCAAAAGTGCAGGTGAAACTGTTCAGGACTTTTAAAAAAAAATTATAATAATTCTGTATTTCAGGTGAAACCAAGGACCAGGTAGCTAACTCTGCCTTTGTGGAACGCCTTCGGAAGCATGGCTTAGAAGTGATCTATATGATCGAACCCATCGACGAGTACTGTGTCCAGCAGCTGAAGGAGTTTGAAGGGAAAACTTTAGTGTCGGTCACCAAAGAGGGCTTGGAACTGCCAGAAGATGAAGAGGAGAAAAAGAAACAGGAAGAGAAAAAGACAAAGTTTGAAAACCTCTGCAAGATCATGAAAGACATTTTGGAGAAAAAGGTTGAAAAGGTATGAATAATCAAATTTGCTAGCTGTTCTAAGAGGTTGAGGTTTAGTCGTGCTAGCCCCATCTCGACTGGAAGAAAAAGCCAGTTTGTGCATTCAGTGATGGTTATGGCTCTTGATTACCTGCATTGTCAGGTAGTTGCCATTTTGCTCTGTTGATACTTGAGTCCCTCAGCCTGCCTTTCACAGTAAAAGCTTGAGGAGAGGCTTGAAGTAGTGGGGTCTTGAGGCCTACTTAAAACTTGAGTCTCGATTACAGGTGGTGGTGTCAAACCGATTGGTGACTTCCCCGTGCTGTATTGTCACGAGCACGTATGGCTGGACGGCAAACATGGAGAGAATCATGAAAGCCCAAGCCCTAAGAGACAACTCAACGATGGGTTACATGGCAGCAAAGAAGCACCTGGAGATCAATCCTGACCACTCCATCATTGAGACCTTGAGGCAAAAGGCTGAGGCTGACAAGAACGACAAGTCTGTAAAGGATCTCGTCATCTTGCTTTATGAAACGGCGCTCCTGTCCTCTGGCTTCAGTCTGGAGGACCCCCAGACACATGCAAACAGGATCTACAGGATGATCAAGCTGGGGCTTGGTGAGCTGCGTGGTGTCCCATTACAGGAGGAGGAGAGAATGCATGGTGGGTGGGAAAGGATTCTTTGAGCTGCAGAGAATGGGTGGGTAGCTCAGTAGTAGAGCACTTAGCCTGCATGCACGAAGCCCTGAGCTCAACCCCGAGCATCACAAAGTAATAATGCTCTTCGTTGGCTGCTTGGGAAATACCATTTTTAAAGGCTAAATGGGGTCTTCTGAGCATCAATTTTTTTTCTTTTTCTTTTTCTTTTTTGGTACTGGGAATTGAACTCAGGGCCTTGTGCTTTCTCTGCAGGCACTGCAGCTGAGCTTTATTCCTGGCCTCTTAAGTATTTAATTTAGGATTTATTTTTTAAATTTTTTAATATTTTGGTGCCAGGGATCAAACTTGAGACCTCGTGCTATTGAGGTGAATGACAGCACTAAGCTAAATCCCCGGCCCTGTAGGTTCTATTTATTTAGGTTGTGGTATTCAGTCTAAAAATGGATGTAGGCCCAGTGGCTCCGGCACCTGCCTGGCAAGTGCAAGGACCTGAGTTTGATCCCCAGCACCCCCCCAAAAAGGTGTAAGTGGACAGTGAAAGGGCTGAGAGCTAATTGGCTGGCTTTAAAAACCCTGATATGAGTGCCAGAGGTTTATCAGCTCAGTGGTTCCACTGCCTGCCTCGCAAGAGCCTGAGTTCAATCCCTGGTACCAGAAAAAGATCCTGATGTGAATTTTATTTCCCAAAAAAGGTATTGATGAGGATGACCCTACTGCTGATGAATCCACTGCTGCTGTCACTGAAGAGATGCCACCCCTCGAAGGAGATGACGACACGTCACGCATGGAAGAAGTAGACTAAGCTCTGTCTGACAAAATGGCTCGGATGTGTGCTCAGTACTCTACCTTCATTCTTGCTGATAATATATTTTCAAGGGTTTTCTTCTTGTTAACACTTACGTCTGTATGGCATGATAACTGCTTAAGGGGAGGATAAGATTTCTTTCTACTTTTAAGTGATACTGTGATACTTTAGCCACTAAAGCAGAGCTAGCAGTGCTTTTTCACTTTGGTTTAACAGGTTGAGATGTTTGTGGTAAAGACCTGTAACTTACTGTTGACTTTGTGAGATCTAAAGTGTTTAGTTTCCAAGCCAAATTGCTTAGTAGACCAAATCTGTCACAAGTGTTTGCTCTCTTGATGTTTATGTTTAAAGGAATATTTGTTACAATAGCTTGAGTTTTCATCTTGTAGGACCTACTTTTTAAAATGTTTTCCCTCTGTAGTTTCAATTCTGCATGTACTAGGCTTCTAGAATAAGTTAAACAACTAGATGGCAGAAACTCTATGGGACTTGTTTTCCAAAGAAATGTATTGTTCAGAGGAATAAAGCTAAACTTCCTAGGAATACTGCAATGCTGTTGGAAGAGTAACTTGAAACAAGGCCTGGGGAATGGGAATGGAATGCCCAGGTCACCTGCTTTACAAGGTAACAAATACAAAGTTAAAGAAGCGTGGAGGTGTATTATTCTGGGTGTGGGGCATTAGGTAGGTTAAGTGGCCCAGAATGTGGGAAACAACTACATGGTCTACCAGCAAATTGAGAGGCCACCTTTAGTTGTTTTTTTTGTGAGCATGTGCCAGGGATTGAACTCCAGACCTTGTGCTTGTGAGGCAGGCGGTTGGCACCACTGAGCTAAGCCCCCCCCCGGCCCTAGTTTGTTTGTTTTGTTTTGTTTTGTTTTGTTTTTAACAGGATCTAAGTTTGTGGTTCAGGCTGTCTTCAAACTCCTGAGATCTGCCTCAGCCTGCTGAGTGCCAGGATTACTGCCATGTGCCACCTTTGGGCCCAGTGAAAGGTGGTGTGGGGCAGGAGCACTGGCTGCTTTGAGTATGGGGCCTTTTCAAAGTGCACTCAACACCTGCAGGTATGGGGTGAGGGATATTAGAGGTGTCAGACATGGTCCCTGTCGGTGCTGCATCTCACACCCAGGGCCTCTTGGGCAAGGTGGTGAGAGCTGTACCCTGAGTTCTGCTCACCCCTTCTGAGGCAGTGTCTCCCAAGTAGCCACCACTCAGCTCGAGGTGGCCATTCTCTTGCTTCCCTCTAGTGCTGCTGGGTCACATCTCCTGACCTGTGGCCTCCCAGAACCCAGGGCCCAATGCACACTAGGTGAGATGCTGTGCTGAGGGCAACACCCCAGCTCCTGGTCTGGTGGGACCGTGGGTTCTTGAGCTGATGGCGAAGTGGGAGCCCTCCATCCTGCACGAGGTGATGGGCCTTTGTGAATCGCAGGCCTGCAGTTGGTGTGATAAGAACTGGGGTGGTCCGGTGGAGAGCACTGGGGTTGTCTCCTGCTCAGTGCCTGAGGCCTGGTGCACAAAAGACGCAACGTAGAGTCCCTGAAGTCTTAGATTCCCCTGAGGTGATACATGGGAACCATTTGACTCCTGAGTCCCATCTTCCTGCTGTTTGCTGATAAGCTTGAAGGATGTGCATGGCAGGAAGGCAGGTGACTTCTCACCAAGTCAGGGCTGGGCGCTTTTCCTGGACATATGAGGTGCCAGCTTCTACCTTTTGTGCCATAGGGAAATTCCTGTCACAAATTAGTTCTGGTGGTGTGGCCTGTAATCCCACCCAGCACTTGAGGCTAAAGGATTGCCCAAGTCCAAGGCCAGCCTAGGCTACACAGACGATTTCAACCAAAACAGTTTAAGTCAAATGACAATTGAAAATGACAGGGTGTCTGAGGGTGTAGCTCAGTGGATCTGCCCCCTGCCTTGGGACTTTGGAAGCACAAGGTCCTGAGTTCAATCCCTAGTACTAAAAAAGAAAAAGTGGCTCAGGGTGCAGCTCACTGTGAAGGCCTTGGACTCTGTTCCAAGCACAGCTTGTATGTGTGTGCACACCGAGTAACTGCTCTGGACCCTTCAGCTTGGAACCCTGTGCTGGACTGAACCACCAGGGACAGGTGTTGAGTGCACCCCAGTTTTGTCTGAGTTGCACCTGGGGAGTAGTACAGTGCTAAGTTTCTGGTACTTTGAATTTGCTTTAGAAATTGTCTCACTGCACTTTGAACCACTGCAAGGCCCGGGTGACAGGCAGGTGTCACTTTGGAGCAGGGTTTCCTGTGTTTCCCAGACTCGTGGACCAAATCCTACCTAGCCTGTGTGCCTGGCCAACCAGCCAGTGTCCACCACTTCCCACACTTCCCTGGCCTTGGAGCAGGCAGGACCACGGCAGAGACCTACCTGGTGTGGGGTGGGTCCAGGCCCGTGTGTAGTTGGGGACTTGAACCTAGGGGCTGTGCCAGGCCATTGTGGGAAGTTGCATATCACCATTTCAAGAACTGTTGCAGCACCTTCACAATGTTGTGCAACTATCACTGCTCCCAAATCCCCTTCCCCACTGCCCTCAAAGCTCCTGCCTGTGCTGGGAACAGTGGCATATTCTGTAATCCCAGTACACTGGCAGGCTGAGGCAGGAAAATCCCAGGCTCACACTCAGCTTGGGCAGTTTTGACAATTTAGCAAGGCTGGGATGCAGCTCAGTGCAAAGGCCTGGGGTTCAGTCACAGTGCTGAAAGTTAATGACAGTCTGCCAGGCTGGCTGAGCACCATCCTGGCTCTGTTTTCATATTCCTTGCCACATGCACCTGCCGACCACCCCTGCCCACCCGCTTTCTCCATTGTATCCTCGTGATCAGGTGCACGTGGGCAGTGCCTGGCTTAAGTGTGCACAGCTGTGTTCCCTTCCCATGTGGACGCTGATTATTCAAATCAGGTTTTCTGCACTTTTCGCCTGCTGTGCCTGAGAGCAGCTCAGCAGCTTAGCCCTGTGCAAGTACAGTTGCAGGTTCTCGGGGAGGAAGGAGGACCCTGGCTTCTCTTCCCAGAAGTGTAGACCAGCGAAGTTCTAGAGCCGGAAATGGGCTCCAGAAAGAACCAGTATTTTTTTAGATCCCAGGATAACAACAACAAAAAAAACTGGTCAGAATTTTTATTTTATTGGTACTGGGGATTGAACTCGGGTCCTTGCAGGCGGTGGAACCACTGAGCTAAATCCCCAGCCTTGGTCAGAATTTTTAAATTGGTAAATGAAGCCAGGCCTGGTACATGCCTGTAATCCCAGCACTCGGGACTGAGGCAGGAGGATTGTGGTTTTGAGGATTGAACCCAGGACCTTTGTACCAAGCTACATCCTCAGACCATTTTTGAGACAAGGTTTTACTGGGCTGCCCAGGCTGGGATTGAACTTGCAGTGTCTCTGCCTGAGACTCCCGGAGTGGTAGTGATAGAGAAATGCTAAACAGTAAGACAGGCCCTTTCCTTCTCCATGTATTTTTTCCCCACATAATGTTTTGTTTTGGAAATGTAAGTTAGTGCTGCTGGGCTCCTGCCCAATGCATCAAAATGGTTTGTGGGTGTTTGAACTGTGTGACCTTTCAGGAAGGTTCTGTAGCTCGCCCCCTGCTTCCGTGAGCGTGCTGCAGACCCTATGTGAGGAGGCTCTAGTCTAGGAGAGGGTCCTTGCTCTGGCTTCTCTGTTCTTGCCCCTCAACTGCCTGTTCATGCATCCTTGCTCTACACTTTGCCCAGCAGTGTTTGTGCTTAGCCTGTGCAAGGCCCTGAGGCCAGTCCCCAGCCGCCCACAAAAAGGAAGGCCTGAGCATGTGTGCGTATGTGCACGTAGCCTCCCTTGCACTGGCTTTGCTCTCTCACCGTGTGTGCACCAGAAGGGCCCATTTCTGACCCAGAAAGTGCTGCGGGTGGCAGGGCAGGTGGCATGGTGGCTCCAAGCTGTGAAGAGTTGGGCTGTATCAAAGGTGTGAACACCCCTCAGGGTACAGGGGACCCACAGGCCAGGCACCCAGGCCTGGGCAGGACATGGCAGCTGGGCCACCCAGGCCTGTGGTGCTGAGTGGCCACCCGGGCCCTCAGGCTGCTGCCCAGTGGCACCTGGCATACTGGTTGCTGGGGCTCCTGTGATGTCACACAGCCTGGCCGGGCCCCTGCCTCCCCCTCAGCTCCAGTCACTCCAGGCGCAGCTCACCGGGAGGTGAGTGTTGGAGCTGGGTCTGGGATGTCTGACGAATGTCACATGGGGGCTGAGTGGCCCAGCCACTTCCGTCCTGCCTGAGCCTCTCCTGACAAGGCCTCCACTGGACGCTGGCCTGGCAGGGACGGAGAGGCCACTTGGGGTGCAGTGGGTGGGAGGGTGCCCTCCTCTCATCTCAGGAAGGCCAGGTCTCGTCCTTGGCCACAGGGAGCCTGGCATGGGGATGGTTCATCCCCTGGTTTGCGCCACCGCAGTTCTGGCCAGCTGGGAATCTGCCTGGGAAGTTAAGCAGCGGCTTTGTGCCAACCACAGTGTTTTTCCAGAATGCAGTTTCATCTAAAGCAGTTTTCTAAAGTGTGCATGACTACCTATGTGTATGCGTGTGTGATCTAAACTAAGCCATCAGGCCTAGTTGTCCACACCCGGGCCTCACTGTGAATTTAGCCCTGAACTGTGCTGCTTTCCAGTTGCAGAACTTCGGGATCTGATGGATCCCATTTTGTTTGCTTGCTTGCTTCCTTGTTTTGTTTTTTGAGACAGGGTCTCAGTATGCAGTGCAGGCTGGCCTCGAATTCAGTGATCCTCCTGCCTCAGTCTGCTGGGTGCTGGGATTACAGGCATCTGTTGTTGTGCCCAGCTGGAACCCAGTAGATTCTAAGAGCCAGGGCTCTTCAGGGGTTGGCCCACAAATCCAAGGTACAGTGGCCATCCCTAGAAGGGCTTTCCCTGAGGTGTCTCACCATTAAAGCTTTTGACCTTGAGAGGTGGCTTTCACTTTATTCAGGTGGTAGCCAGGTGTGGTGGTGCACGTCTATGATCCCAGCACTTGGGAGGCTGAGGCAGGAGGATCGCTGCATGTTCGAGGCCAGACTGGGCTACACAGCAAGACCCTGTCTCAAAAAACAAAACAAACAGGTGTTCACAGTTGGGCTGTGTGTGTTAAAAGTGTGCATGTGTGAGACTCGGCTGTGGGAGGCCCCCGGCTTTGTGTCCCTCGGGGGAGGTGGAGAGACTGTACCTGAAGGATGACCACCCTGCCATTGTTGCTCGTGAGTGGACCTGTCCTCATTCCTCCTGCTGAGACCCGGGTTAATCAGCTTAGCTGCCCAGTGAGCCTGGTGCAGTCAGACTGCCCCAGCCAATTGGGGCCCCCCTGCCCTGCGCTGGGAGCGAGTGCTGTGACTTTGTGCATTTACTCTGTGCTCTGATCATGGTGTGAGCACCAGAATAAAGGCAGCGCACAGGTGGGCGTCTCATCCTGGGTGACACAGGGCCTCCAGTAATCCAGGTGACGTGAGGAAAACCTGATGAGTTCGTGTTCCCTAAAACTGGATGAATTCTAGGAACAGCAGGGTAG